AGCGCTTTAAAGTGTCTGGTGCTGTGGAATAGAGATCAGTGACAACGGTATATACTGCCAAGATTCATTAAATGAATGTCCTGCTCCAACATCCCAAAGGTTTTCTACTAGGATAGTGAAATTACGGCAGTGGTGGCCATTTAAATACATTGGGTTGATTGTGGTGATCAGGAGACCATTGCGAGAGATGAGCTCCGCGACATTCTCTGTTATCATCTTCAAGTAGCCATTAAAATATAAAGTCTCGGAGGTCATTACCGAATGGACATGGTCAGCAAAATTGATCAGGTGGGTTGTGGTTTTGAAAGTTATGTTCACTGAGTGCTAAAGGATTCACATTATTATGCCGAAAACAAAAGTCAAATCAAATGTTATTACCAAGAAGAACGGCAAATCACAAATGCACAGGTTGATGTTTATGCTCATTTCAGAGCCAAGCATCTGCTGGCAAGGGGGTGGGGGTGGGGGGGTGTCACTTCCCTAGTTCTATCGCCCGTTTTTAAGTCAGAACGTTACTTGAAGTGTATTTGAAAAGAAGATCCAAACACAGATAAATGGCACAGTGGGCTACGCGGGCACAGTCGCCACATCTCCAACTGTCTGCCTCGATAAGAAGGAAAGCCAAGAAAAGGCCGGAGCCTCCAGAATAAAAAAAAAAAAAAAAATGCTTGTGATCCCATTTTCTACTCACAAACACCACCAGGCATAATATTCCTTTCATGCTGGCACCCCAAAAATGGCAGACATAATTTTGACTGAAGCCAAGAAAAATAAAAAGCAACCACAAGCAACGACCACACCTCTTCGAACCATTTCTTCTGTTCAGTGGGTGGATAACAAGGTCACAGTTGGTGCAGCCGATTAGTAAAATGTAGTCTTTGCCATTTCATGCATTCATTCCCTTTGACCAAGCAGAGATAAGCTGGAGGCTTGGACAACCACACTTTTATCCAACTTAATCTCCATACAGTAGATTTTACTCACTATTTATTTATTTAGTCAGTGTCTCCATCTAAGGCTGCTTTAAGTGATACCACTTCAGTCGGTGTTGGGCGAAACAACCCTGTTGGCATAAACGGCTGTACAATGGAGCCTGTAAGTTGAACGCAATCTGTTTTAGGATGCTTGTCGACATGGATTTTGAAACAATTCTCCCATGGGAAATAATGCCTCAGGTGCCTTGACTTCTTCGACTGCTGAGACAGTTCAAGGCAAGGCAGAGGGCAACTGACCCTCATACCGACTGACTGCAGTGACTGATATCACTCAGTAGGCCATGTGCCATTAAAAAAAAAAAAAAAATCCTCAACATGCAAGTACCGTATTTTCCGCACGAAAAGGCGCTTTGGAGTATAAGGCACACCTTCAATGAATGGCCTATTTTAAAACTGTTTTCATATATAGAGCACACCCGCATTATAAGGCGCATAGAATAGAAGCTACAATAGTGGCTGCAGTTGTGTTATGCATCCACTAGATGGAGCTATGCTAAAGGGAATACAACACAACTTTATTGATACAGAACTTCTACAAGCGCCGCAGCTGTAACCAAGCGCTTTACAGAACATTTAAAATACTACATCCAATAAATTTGAATATTGATCCACATATAAGGCACATTGGATTATAAAGTGCACTGTCAGCTTTTGAGAAAATTGAATGCTTTTAGGTGCGCCATACAGTGCGGAAAATATGGTAAACTTTGTTTACATTGCCATTTATTATGTGGTATGTGCTCTTATGTTTCTATTCTACATTGCGGTGAGATTCATTGTTGTATCGAAAAAAACATGATCCGTTTAATTTATAATACATTAATCCCTCGCCACTTCGTGCTTCCTGTTTTCCAAAATACTGTATTCATTAAAAAAAACACACACAAACACACACACACACACACACACACACACACACACACACACACACACACACACACGTTAACTAAATAATCAAAATATACAAATCACAAAAAATACAGCCATATTGGCAGCCACAGTGTGGAAAGATGCATTGCTTCATGTTGATGCGCAGGAGAGAAGGTTTCCCTGCATGCCGAACAAAGAGCTGACGTGACTCAGAGGCTTTTGTACATGTACTGTAGTGTACTGTACATGCACTCAAACAAGGCGCAGGATTGGTTCCCGGCGTGACATCGACCAATGGCAGCACAAGTGAATTTATCCCATGAGCTGATTGGCTGCGCATTATCGCAGCCTCACCCAGCAAACTTCCCTTGTGTCTCGTCACACCGTTGACTGTCTCGCATATTGTATCTTAGTGTTTGTTGTGTTTGCAATAATTTCTTTGAACCCATTAGTAGGTTTATTTTTACTTTACTTTTGATCAACTTATCAATTGTACTCAAGAAATGCAGTAATTATAATGAATATGAGAAAATTGAAACAAAGAGGAGAAAGAATAATTATATATATACAAACTGAAAGGTGTATAAATAGAAAAGTATAGTATACATAATGGTAAAGGTATTTGATGATATGTAGACTTTTTCTTCTTTTTTGTTTTGAAAAATGATCAATTCATATTACTCCACAATAAGGAGTAGGACAAGATAAGTTGTTTCCTTCTTCCTGCTCCTTTGAGCATACAACTGTGATGATGTGTGTTTTTCTTTTACTTACTTTTTAATTTTCCTTTCATAAATTTTGCTTGCCTTTTGTCAATCTGTTATTGTGTTATATATATATATATATATATATATATATAGGGACAGGTAGGTTTGGATTAATTTATTTAATTTTTTGTGTATCAAAATTAATTAAATTGGCATTTAGAAACTGCATGTTGTATTTCCTTAGGTTGTCTCTGTGTGATATTAAAATCGGTTTGATGAACTGAAATCTATTTGGGTGATAAATATGCAAAGAACCAGAAATCAGGAAGGAGGCAAATACTTGTTCATGGTACTGTGTCATGCTGCTTTGAATGTGACTTTGTTTACGTCACATAACTTCCAGTGTGTTCTTACGTCTCAACTCCCATTCTTCTTCTCTGATTACCTCTTGCTGCAGTTCATCTTAGAAATGTTGCAAAAATGCCAAATAGGAGGGAAGACGTACATAGTCACCCCTTTGATGCTCCCTTTAACTTAATGCAGGTTGGCATGTTTTTTCTCAATTCACGTTTCACATGATGGTAGTTGGAGGACCCCAAAAAAGCGAAGAGGCGGGGAGGAGCAGGGTGGACTGAGCAAGATGTATTTAACAAAAAATACAAACAGAAGTACACTGGAGAAAAACTAACTGAAGTACTTGAACAAAGTCCTGAAAACCCCAAGGAACCAAAGGAAGAAAAACCTATGACAGAAACAAAACATGACAGGAGCACACAGACACTTAAAATGATCCAACCAAGACTGACATCACCCATGGAACTAAATACAAGCAAAGTGATGAGACACCGAGAAACACCTGGACAAGACACAAAGGGTCGAGGGAGCCGATTGGTTAAACACGAGGGACATGGATGACGAGAAGAGGTGGACACAAAAAAGGGCACATGAGGGAACAAAACCAAATGTAACCTAAACAAAAACATATTGATACTCGTTTTAATCTGCGTATCAATTTGGTATTGACTATGCTCATAAGGTAACAATACTTTGGGATACGTAACGAGTGCCTTCTGCTCCACTTTGGCTTTTCGGAAACTTAGACCATAATTGGAATGTGCCACAGTCTGGGGGTGCCAGAGTGTGTTCTGGTCATTCTGACTGGGGACCCAGAGCGTGACAACGTCAGGCAGGACAAGACGGAAGCGATCAGCATAAAATGCCAGGGTTGTGGGCTGTCGGGCCATTTGAATGGATCTGACAACAAAACGTTCGTAAATACAAAAGAAAGGGAGCTTTGTTTGCCTCTCGGGACTCAACTCAGCTGTATTTATAGAGCACTCTAAAACAACCACCTCTTTATACAAAGTGCTGTACATGGAGCAAACAAAAATTTTAAAGAAGAAATCATAGTAATGAGAAAGAAATATATCCATCCATTTTCTGAACCGCTTTATTCTCACAAGGGTCGTGGGGCGTGTTGGAGCCTATCCCAGCTGTTTTCGGGCAGTCAGCGGGGGACACCCTGAACCGGTTGCCAGCCAATCGTAGGGCACACAGAGACAAACAACCATCGTGATCACACTCACACCTAGGAACAATTTCGAGTGTTCAATCAGCCTGCCATGCATGTTTTTGGAATGTGGAAGGAAACCAGAGTACCCGGAGGATACCCACGCAGCCACGAGACATGCAAACTCCACACAGGAAGGCCGGAGCTGGGATCGAACCCGGTACCTCTGCACTGTGAGGTCGATGCGCTAACCACTGGCTTCACCGGCCGCCTAAATAAATATAAAAGGATAAAATCAAAATAAGTGTATAAATAAGTTATTCAAAAGTTATTCAAAAGCCGTGGAAAACATAGATGTTACGAACATTTTTCACTCGGGTAACAAACTGAACCAACGAAAATATTGGACGCTGTTTTCATTTTGATACATTGCAGTTTGACACTACCGAAACCATTAGATTTAAAAACATACAGAATCCTTCAATGTATATTTTGTGGATGAATGTGTTCTGTCCCCTTTTGGGGAACTCTTTGTTGTGGATTTCTCATGAGAACTTGAAACTTTATGACTGTCAGAAGGGTTTTGAGGGACCAATGCGCTTAGAACAACAGATAGTACACTGCACCTGATCGGCTACTTTGTTCTCATGAATGCTAAATACCGCTAAGAAGACACTAATCCGTGGTTGCTCCTTAATCTCCCGCACACAGCACGACACCGCAGGCTGTGGAGCGTGCAACCCAACTGTGTCTTTTTACGCACGGCCATTGCGCACTCACCCCCCTCCAAGTGTTTGCGTAAATGCGCTCCCCGTGCTAACTGACCTGCCTGCGCGCCCATCCTCCCAGCAGCTGCTGAGAGATTTTCCCAGCGTCCCAGCCACCTTGGTTCATCCTCCTCTCTCATTGCTAGTCCCTTCACCAAAAGCCAACAAACTTCTCTGTTCGGTGGATCTAAATTTTGGTCAACTTTCGGGATCGAATGGACCTTGAGCAAAGATGGGAAAATAGTTCCAAGGACATAGTGTGCTCGCCGTGGAGAGTATAAATAGTTGCCATGTAGCAACACTCTGAAATGACGATTGGAAATATTACAGCAGAGCCCTCACATCCAACCGATTTATTTTTACTTCAAGGGAAAACTACACATGCGATGTGAAGCGCTTCGTCGCAGTTTGGCTCTCAGCGAGTGCAGCTTTTCAGAGCATCAGAGATCTTGCCGGTGACATTTCCCCCCCTCCGTCAAGGAAGAAGCTCGAGTGAGGAAGCGAATATGCTGTCGGATAGGCAGCTGGTGGTTGTGCAGTTCAGATCTTGGCTTGAGTAGATGGACGAAGGGAGCGGCTGGAGCCGGGAACCAGGTCAACTAATCCACATTCATAGAGCCTGCGGCGACATATAATGGATCGTTATCCATCTTCAAAGGTAAGGGGGGAAAAAAAATCATGTCCGATTCTGTCATGCAGTCTTTCACATTACATTATCTGTTTATAATGCAGCAAACGAGTGGGTGGAATGCATACTGTAACAAATAGGTTTTTCATACTTAAAAGAATATATATAGATTTTGATGCACGACGCGCACTCTGCAGTGTCGGAGGTGTGTTGGAAAGTGGCTCACGGTTGCTCCTAGATTATCACAGGTAACCCGATTGCAATGGGATCAGTCCGGCAGAGACTGCTGAGACTGTTCGTGTTCCGGCGGGTCTTTTTTTTTCCGGAGTCCTCGCTTTGTTCTTAATGCGGGGAAAGGGTGCTGCGTGGGATTCGATGTATATCGTGATGCTCGTAACCGACGCACACTAATTCCGGGTGCACTTTGGGGGTCTGCAAATTGCGCGTGTGCACGTGAAATAGAATAGAAGGGTCGGGGTTGGTCGCCCCAACGCTTTTTTTAATAATGCCCCCAATGTAATTGGAGTGGGGTATTGTGTCTGTTCAATTCGTGCTGTTTTCATAGCCTGCGTATGCCACCAATGAGCTCACGCATAATTATGTTGAGAAACTTAACGTCTCAGTGGAATATCAGACTGTGCGCGCGCACGATCGTTTATATCGGGAGCGAGCGTCGGATAGGAGGACCGATAGCCACTCCGAGGTTCCATAGGAAGCAGTTTACGAAGCCCCCCCACTCCCCACCCGCAGTAATCTCTACTTTGTGGATTACAAGCAGTTCCTTGGAGGGTCGCAATCGCAACTCCTCGCCTGGAGAGCTTTGGTGGCTTTTACAGAACCATGCACAGCTCACAGTGTGAGCTGCAGTGGGAGACGGCACCTGACTCCCTCAATGGGGCATTGATCTTCCCCACCCCCACACCTAAAAAAAAAAAAAAAAAATCTCCCCGTCCAGGGTTCGTTTCCTGAATCGAGTGTTAAGATTTCTTGTCAAAGCAATGCATTAAGGACCCACAAATTCACGAAAACTGAAACCTGTATGACGCAAAATGACTCACTGACAACCGCACTTGGCATGCAGAACAGTTTAGTGGTAGTCGTTATGATTTGAGTCCAGCATCAATATCTGTCATTTCAAAACAGGAACACTCTCGCAATCGCTTCAGTGGGGACAGAAATTGCTATCGCGTGCAAAACTACTACACCCGTTCTAGGATATGCAAATAAACCCAATGATTTCACACTGTCATTATTGTCATTATTTGTTTCCCAAGAAAGCAGAAGTATCCGAAAGCAGTTCATCCAAAGTTTATAGATAGAATATATTATATAGTGTGGGTATTGTCCAGGGATGTGTCCAAGGACCGGCAACCCGAGGCCAAGGCCAAGGCCAAGGACTTGGAAAATTTTCCGAGGCAAGGCCAAGGCCAAGGACTTGGAAAATTTTCCGAGGCAAGGCCAAGGCCAAGGACTTGGAAAATTTTCCGAGGCAAGGCCAAGGCCAAGGACTTGGAAAATTTTCCGAGGCAAGGCCAAGGCCAAGGACTTGGAAAATTTTCCGAGGCAAGGCCAAGGCCAAGGACTTGGAAAATTTTCCGAGGCAAGGCCAAGGCCAAGGACTTGGAAAATTTTCCGAGGCAAGGCCAAGGCCAAGGACTTGGAAAATTTTCCGAGGCAAGGCCAAGGCCAAGGACTTGGAAAATTTTCCGAGGCAAGGCCAAGGCCAAGGACTTGGAAAATTTTCCGAGGCAAGGCCAAGGCCAAGGACTTGGAAAATTTTCCGAGGCAAGGCCAAGGCCAAGGACTTGGAAAATTTTCCGAGGCAAGGCCAAGGCCAAGGACTTGGAAAATTTTCCGAGGCAAGGCCAAGGCCAAGGACTTGGAAAATTTTCCGAGGCAAGGCCAAGGCCAAGGACTTGGAAAATTTTCCGAGGCAAGGCCAAGGCCAAGGACTTGGAAAATTTTCCGAGGCAAGGCCAAGGCCAAGGACTTGGAAAATTTTCCGAGGCAAGGCCAAGGCCAAGGACTTGGAAAATTTTCCGAGGCAAGGCCAAGGCCAAGGACTTGGAAAATTTTCCGAGGCAAGGCCAAGGCCAAGGACTTGGAAAATTTTCCGAGGCAAGGCCAAGGCCAAGGACTTGGAAAATTTTCCGAGGCAAGGCCAAGGCCAAGGACTTGGAAAATTTTCCGAGGCAAGGCCAAGGCCAAGGACTTGGAAAATTTTCCGAGGCAAGGCCAAGGCCAAGGACTTGGAAAATTTTCCGAGGCAAGGCCAAGGCCAAGGACTTGGAAAATTTTCCGAGGCAAGGCCAAGGCCAAGGACTTGGAAAATTTTCCGAGGCAAGGCCAAGGCCAAGGACTTGGAAAATTTTCCGAGGCAAGGCCAAGGCCAAGGACTTGGAAAATTTTCCGAGGCAAGGCCAAGGCCAAGGACTTGGAAAATTTTCCGAGGCAAGGCCAAGGCCAAGGACTTGGAAAATTTTCCGAGGCAAGGCCAAGGCCAAGGACTTGGAAAATTTTCCGAGGCAAGGCCAAGGCCAAGGACTTGGAAAATTTTCCGAGGCAAGGCCAAGGCCAAGGACTTGGAAAATTTTCCGAGGCAAGGCCAAGGCCAAGGACTTGGAAAATTTTCCGAGGCAAGGCCAAGGCCAAGGACTTGGAAAATTTTCCGAGGCAAGGCCAAGGCCAAGGACTTGGAAAATTTTCCGAGGCAAGGCCAAGGCCAAGGACTTGGAAAATTTTCCGAGGCAAGGCCAAGGCCAAGGACTTGGAAAATTTTCCGAGGCAAGGCCAAGGCCAAGGACTTGGAAAATTTTCCGAGGCAAGGCCAAGGCCAAGGACTTGGAAAATTTTCCGAGGCAAGGCCAAGGCCAAGGACTTGGAAAATTTTCCGAGGCAAGGCCAAGGCCAAGGACTTGGAAAATTTTCCGAGGCAAGGCCAAGGCCAAGGACTTGGAAAATTTTCCGAGGCAAGGCCAAGGCCAAGGACTTGGAAAATTTTCCGAGGCAAGGCCAAGGCCAAGGACTTGGAAAATTTTCCGAGGCAAGGCCAAGGCCAAGGACTTGGAAAATTTTCCGAGGCAAGGCCAAGGCCAAGGACTTGGAAAATTTTCCGAGGCAAGGCCAAGGCCAAGGACTTGGAAAATTTTCCGAGGCAAGGCCAAGGCCAAGGACTTGGAAAATTTTCCGAGGCAAGGCCAAGGCCAAGGACTTGGAAAATTTTCCGAGGCAAGGCCAAGGCCAAGGACTTGGAAAATTTTCCGAGGCAAGGCCAAGGCCAAGGACTTGGAAAATTTTCCGAGGCAAGGCCAAGGCCAAGGACTTGGAAAATTTTCCGAGGCAAGGCCAAGGCCAAGGACTTGGAAAATTTTCCGAGGCAAGGCCAAGGCCAAGGACTTGGAAAATTTTCCGAGGCAAGGCCAAGGCCAAGGACTTGGAAAATTTTCCGAGGCAAGGCCAAGGCCAAGGACTTGGAAAATTTTCCGAGGCAAGGCCAAGGCCAAGGACTTGGAAAATTTTCCGAGGCAAGGCCAAGGCCAAGGACTTGGAAAATTTTCCGAGGCAAGGCCAAGGCCAAGGACTTGGAAAATTTTCCGAGGCAAGGCCAAGGCCAAGGACTTGGAAAATTTTCCGAGGCAAGGCCAAGGCCAAGGACTTGGAAAATTTTCCGAGGCAAGGCCAAGGCCAAGGACTTGGAAAATTTTCCGAGGCAAGGCCAAGGCCAAGGACTTGGAAAATTTTCCGAGGCAAGGCCAAGGCCAAGGACTTGGAAAATTTTCCGAGGCAAGGCCAAGGCCAAGGACTTGCCTCCGAGGCCAAGGCCAAGGCCAAGGAATTGACTCTCAAGGCCAAGGCCAAGGTCCTTGGTCCGGTCCTTGAGGCCAAGGACCGGCTCGAGGAACACATCCCTGGTATTGTCCGATTTAGTATAATGTGCTTGGATACACTAAAATTACACTAGTTCCCGTAACACAGCTAAATTAACGACGCTATCATAATTTATGTTTAATCACCCATCATGAATTGATTTCACCAACTTTAAGAGCATTCAATTGTCAGAATTGCTGAGAGGAGGATACTCAAATGGAATTACTTTTAATTACTATTTTGAGTCAGTGAACGACTCGTGATTGCAAACATCAAACAAATTAACAAACAAAAAATATGCGAAATAAAAATATCTGCAGTGACCAGTACCTGAAACATCAGTTTTACACAGTCCACAGCACGTTTTTTTGTCAAGGATTAAAATATGATACAAAACAAAGATGAGCTAGTGCAATTAAATTGTTTTGTTTTCAAGAGACAATGATAGTCAAACACCAACGGTAAGAGAAATGTTGCAGCACTTTTGTATTTTATCCATTGTTTCAAAAGAAGCCCCAGAGTCAAAAAACATAGTTGAAAATGGAACTCTAAGTTTCTGTTGGCAAACTAGGCTTTTTTTCCCTTTTAACATTGCACAATACAGTACACTTTACTTTTTTTTTTAAATTAACTGTCACCACAACTCAATGTCAACACAGTCTATAGCAGTGGTTCTTAACCTTGTTAGAGGTACCGAACCCAACCAGTTCATATGCACATTCACCGAACCCTTCATTAGTGAAAAATAAAAATATGATTCAAGAAGTGTTCCTTCAGTTTTGAGTTGTTCAACTTGGCATGACAAATCATGCAGATAGGATAATTCACTCCCATCCCTTTACAATACATGATGCATGTGAATCCATGTTGGAAATATTCGTCCGGCCGCTTTTTTTTGTTTGTTTTTTTGCTCGACATAGTTGGCATGTTTTTTTGAAAACATTCTTTAAAAAAAAAAAAAAAAATCACACTATGTACTATCACGACAGTCACTCGTTGACGACTGAGCGAACTAAATTTCCTGCAGCACTGATTGGACAAGCGATGTAATGTGAACATCTGCCACGGGCATGTCCTAACTAATTGACATGTTGAGTCGAGTGTGTCTTAACCTCCAAGGCAAAGGCTCCATCAAACCCCTGAGACCGATTCACCGAACCCAG